GTCATATTTAATATATTAAATTGATCATAATTGATATAACTGTAATCTAACCATTAACTATTAAATTAGTATCCTTTTTATTTTTAAAACCAACAAAATTTACCACAATTTTTGTGAAAAGTTTATAAGAAGAACCATAAATTTTTATGTCTAATATATATATATATATTATATATGGAACCAGAAACTCCCTTTGGTACGGGATATGTTTTCAAGATGTTCTCTTGCGACCAGTGTCATGTCGTTTTCTTCGACTTCACAACTTTTACTGCCCTTCTTGACGGCACTGGGCAAGATAGTTCATCCCTTCATGGAGACCCAAAAAAAAAAGGTAATTTTTTTTTAATAAAAGATCAAATGACCTTAAGAAGATGAGAATTCTCCATCAAATACTATATTTATAAATAATTTTTAATGTGTTTTATTTAAATAAAAAAATTTAAAATTCATTAATCCTATCTAATTTTGTTTAAATTTTCAATTTTGCTCATATTAAATAAACATAATTTAATAATGAATTTTTTCTCACTTAATATTAAATGGGAATAAAAGAAATTTGTAAGAAAAGTTAACAATATGCGTTATACATAGGATAAAATTAAAATTATTTTCTCAACTTTACCAGTAAAATTAAAATGAGTAAAATATAAGTCCCATAAATGCCAGGAACTAGCTAGTAAGCAAACATGAGAGATAGAACATTACACCATTGACCATGAAATATAACATGTCACACCCAAGATAACCCATGACGGCTCTCACAGCATAACAACACACAATTGGGAACATAAAACACACGACATGATATATCATATTTTTTTGGCCCCGGGGGTGGGGGGACACTTTGAGATTACACAAGAAATTGACGTGTGGAGACTCCAACATTTTAAAATGTCACTTAAGGACATCGGTCCTTACTGGCATTTAAAGGGGGGAGAAAAGATATTCAACAAAAAAATCTATGCTCATGGCCAGAAGTTTAAAAATCCTAAAAGTCTTTCAAAACCATGCTCTTATCATCTCCATGTACAGCCCAGCTTTAGAATCCGGTTTAAGAGTTAAGATTTTTTTTTTCAAAAAGAAAAAAATTGGGCTTATTCAAGTTGCTTAATAAGACTGAAGAAATCCAAATCAAGTCTCAACTTGCATTAGCTTAGCTTGAATTTTTTTCACTTTGCATTGATAAACCTTTTTCTATTATTAATAAAATGAAATCAATTATTTTTTTTATTGTTAAAAACAAATAATTATGTTGATTATCTTGTCCATTAAGCATTTCAAGATAATTAAGAAATTAAAATCTTCAACGACACCTCCCTAAAATATTGGGACTTGTTTATTTCCAATCTGACTTGATTTTGCTTTTATTTTGCACCAATCTTAAATTGTGGCCATATGCTACTTCCAGAAAAGAAAAAAGAAAGAAAAACCTATAAAATTAAGTTAAAAGTTTTGACAGCTAAGTTATAAATTCTAATAGGTTAGTTGAAACTTGAAATGGTTTTCAACTAAGTATTTTTTTTCATATGCACTCTGTAATTTAAAAAAAATCCAAAACTAAATTGCAAAAATGATGGTTCCATCGTTATGCATCTTGAAAATTAAAAAAAAAAACGGATATGAAAAATTGCTTAAATAAAAATGATTTCAATGCTAAGCTTAAAAATTTTCCAATTAGCAAGTGAATAGGGGCATTTTTTATTAAGTGACCTTTTCCAAATATCAGTACATGACCTTAATTTTGGACTTCTAAATTATTACTATCCTTTTTAATTATTTGATCTCAAAGTGTCAATACCGTCAATAATCATCCTATCTCTCTATGCTTTCCCATCCTTTGTTGTTTTTTTTTATTTCAATTTTTCATTGTTATAATGTTTGGTTAGTTTTATTTGTATGTAGGCAATGAGTCCCGTGTGGGAGACAAAAATAAGTTTTGTTATTCATACCATATAAACAACGTGATTATAAATTTTATTATGTATAAAATCAATATATTAATATTATAAGGGTGTTTATTTTATTCTCCGACACAATAATGTTAATTTTTTTATAACATCCCCCATAAAAATGTCGTGCACGGGTTTATTCCATCAAGAGCATGAAATAATACTCGCTGCCTTTTTTAAGACAAGAGGGCTGCATTTGTAATTCCATATAAAACAAAATAAATAAACAATTTCCAATAAAAACAAAAAACAAAAAGACAAGCCAGCATATTAGTCTAATATATATTTCCTCCCTTTAAAAATATAAGATACTTTTTAAGGAGTTGAATGTTAAAAAATATAAGGTATTTTTAGTCTTTTGAGATATAATCATTTTTTTTAAGTATCCCTATTGATGATAACTTTATATTTATTATAGATATTTAATAAAAATAAATATAAAAATATAGGGTTAGTTTGAAAGTAGGTAACTATTTTATTGGGGGTGAGATTCGGTTAAAAATACTTTATATTTTTGAACGGAAGGAATATATAAAATCAATATATTAGACTAGAGGGCTGCCTTTTTTTCCCTCCCAAAAAAAAAATCACCAATAAAAGTTGTTTGAATTGATAAAAAAAGAAAAAAATTTTAAATTGCACGCATATTATATGATCAAATTAAGTAAATAATTTAATATTTATTATATTTTACATTATAACTGATTTATTATATTTATTAAACATATACTATTGTATATCAATGATAAATTTTTTATAATCTTTTAATGATAAATTCTTTATATATCAATGATAAATATCTTATATATCAATATGAACCGGCTATGCTCTCAAATTTTTAAAAATTTAATTTATATTTTTTAAGTACAAGATTTTTTTTCCAGCTAGTGACCCTTTTATCCTATATATATCAATATATGTTCCTAAAAACATTAACATTTTGGGAAAATCACAATGAAGGACTTATGTAGCATTTTATTTACAAGAAAAGATCAAATGATTTTGAATTTATTCTACAGATCAAAGGACTTGAATATAATTTAATTTTAATATAAAAAGAAAAAATTACCCCTCATTTTTTTTAAAAAAATCTCCCACTATCATTGACCGTCAGAGCTCTTGTGCTTGTGGTTAGACTACCCCGCTGGACCAAATGCTAGAGTTTTAATGTTGGTCACCAAACTGGCGAAGGAGACAAATTAAAAATTTTGAAGGTGACCAAGAATAGTTAGCCACTAGGCTGACAATTCCTTTAAATTATATGATTTAAATATATATATATATATATATACACACACATATATATATAATACTTGTTAAAAGCTTAATAATTATTTATTATTTTGCAAATAATTACTTGTTAGATTATTAATGAGACTGGTTAAAAAATTTAATATGCATTAATTTTTATAAATATTTATTTGTTTTTATTACCGAAACTTGCATGTTAGAAGTTTATATGAACCTATTATTTTATTAAAATTTACTTGTAAAATTATTAAGAAAAATTTTTAAAGTTAGTAACGGAACTTGTTATTTTACAAATAATTACTTGTTAAATTATTAATGAAGATGTGTTTGTAAAATCATCAAGAGAAATTTTTAAAGCTAGTAACAAAACTTATCATTTTACAAATGGTTACTTGTTAAATTATTAATTAGGACTTATTAAATAAATTTAATATAGAGTAATTTTTATAAATGTTTACTGGTTTTATTACTAAAATTTTACATGTCAAAAACTTATGTAAATTTATTATTTTGTTAAAATTTTCGTGTTAAATTATCAAGAAAATTTTTTAAAGCTAGTAACGGGATTTATTATTTCACAAATAATCACTTGTTAAATTACCATAGTGGCCTTGTTTGTCAAATCATCAAAAAAAAATTTCAAAGCTAGCAACGGAGTTTGTTATTTCACAAATAGTTATTTGTTGAATTACTAATAGAAACTTGTCATTCCTAGTAATAAAAATAAATAAGGATTTATAAAAATTAGTGCATGTAAATTTTTTAATAAATTCTATTAGTAATTTAATAACTAGTCATTTGTAAAATGATAAGTAATCATTAAACTCCTGATATGTATTGAAATTAAAAGTGAAAATAAAGTTAAAATATATATAAAGATTTGCATTATATAATTGAAAGGAATTACTAGCATAATAGCTAATTATTCTTTTGGGGATAAAGAGATGTAGGTTCAAACCTTCATTGATTACCTTAGAAAAATTTAATTTGTCTCTCTCATTGGTTTGGTGACCAATGATGGAGCTCTAGTATCTAATCTGTGACACTGGAGGATTTTTTTTTTAAATGATTTATTTTTTTGTGCTAAAATTTAATTACATTTTAATCTCTTAATCCTATATAGTAAATTCAAAATCCCTTAATCATCTTCTATAACTAAAATTATCGAGAGGTCCTTTACTATAATTTTCTCTGACATTTTTATCCATACAGTAACATTACTTATTTATTTTTTTTAAAAAAATATCCTCTCTCTCCCTCTTAATTTTTTTTTTCTTTAAAAACAAAATTAATTTATCATTTGTGAATATCTTTTACAATACAACAAACATTCTCTCAAGTCTCAGGAGAAGCAGGGACGTATTCACATTGGGAAAAGAGGGGGCAATTGTGCTCATGAAATTTACAAAAATTACACTTATTTTTTTATTTAAATTACATTTGCCCACACTTTAAAATTGCAGTTGCTCCCATAAAAAATTAATTGTCCCACATTTTCTTTAAAATTATCAAGTATACATATTTAAAAATATTATTTACCCTTTTATTTATAATAAAAAGAAATTTATGATGTAAATGAAATTAGATATATTTTTAAACTTTTCATATAATTTGTTTATATATTATTTTAATTATTACTTAGAATTATATATTTTTTATAAATATTTATATTTATATTTATATTTGATATAAATATTGCCTTCATTATTAAATTTTTTTAAATCCGTCACTGCTCAGGTGCTACTTTTGTGCTTCCAATGCAGTAAAACCTTGCTTTGATCCAAAATGCTGTCATTTTGAGATTGAAAGCATTGGAGCGACCTTACCACTTTAAGTTATCTTTGGGTGGATCGCTTTCTATCTCCTAGGTTTCCATTCCCTTGTGGGAGTAGGTCATCGGCGGGCTTGCAGAGTTTGGTGGGCCAAGGGTCTCCCACTTCTCTCATCATCGAAGGGCTCTTACGCTCTTTCGACCCATGGCGAGCGTGTGCGAGTGGTTGGCTTGGGGCTGTGGATTGGTGTGGGTACAAGTTAGGAAGAGTGTGTGTGTGTCTGTGTGTGGTGGAAATCAAAGACGAGAGGGTGGTGAATCGAGACTGGATCTGGAAACATGGGGAGGTGAAATGGAGTTGAACTGCAAACGTCAAGTTTGGAAGGGTTGTTTAGATCGTATTAGGCGTTGCAATGAGAGACCTTGGAGGTTTCTTGAATGTAATAGAAGGGAAGACGATCTTTGATGGATGCCACCAGATGTAGTATGGGCAAAATCCGTATTGAGGCTCTGGAACTCTGGAATTACGGGAGAAGTAAGGGTTTGGAAGATTGGGTTTCGGGCACGGTGGTTCGATTTCTGGTCTGCCATGATGTTTCTGAGCATGACGTAGATGATTGACGAATGGCAAGGGAAGAGACAAAGGTCAATTGAAATGGTCGATGTGGGAATTTCCGTACAGGGATGAATGGTTCAATTCTCTCAAAGTCACAATCTGATTTCTCTGTGGTATAATTTCTTTATTCCCATTTACTCTGCATCATCAGTGAATCTATTTTGGAAAAGTTTCATGGATCCAAATGGGAGTTTTGAATCAAGTTATGTTGCGAGCTTTTTGGAGGAGGGCTTTTGATTATGTGGTGTAGTTACTGGTTTTGATTTGGAGGAGGCTTTTTGTTTTCTTGGGTTGCCCTTCTTTGACTTGGTATATAACAATGTTTGATCTTTGTATTTGGGGTTTGTTGTGTTTGCATATTGGTATATCCATGATTGTTTGTTCAAGTGGGGATAATGCTAATAATCTGGTACAAAGCCTTCTTACTTGTATTCTGGCTAATCCACTTAGCATTCTTGGTGGAAAAACTATGGATCATTTGAGGTGTGTTCCCCCTAGAAACAAGTGGCTCAATTTGGACTATTTTATAATATTTTTTTTTTAAGGATATAGAGTATGGGTGTTTTCTACTGGTGCTGGCTGTGTTCAATGCCTACTTTTGATTATGAAGGGATTTGCTTGCCTCCAGTGGATTTTTCTAATCTTGGCAGAGCTCTTGGCTCTTATTGCCCTGAGTGGATTTCAAGACTTCATAACGCAACCGCTGAATGCGGTACTCTGGCTGCCTGTAGGGAGAAGTGCTCAAAAGAATGTGTGTTTCCACCCATTCTTCCGTGGTTACAATATTGGCTGATGACTTATCAAAGACTAGGAATCGCTGTTCTTGGTTTTTTCCCTTTGTTTTGGTTCTTTTTTTTTTTTTTCCCCTGCTAGTTTGGTTTGGTTTTGTTTCCCTTTGTTTTGGTTCTGTTTATACTGGATAGTATTTCATGCAGTCTTCTTATGTTGACTCTTATCTTTTGCATTTTGGTTTTAACGATATGATTCTCTTGTTGCCAAAAAAAAAAAAGAAAAGATAAAGAAAGGAAGAAAGCATTGGAGCAAGGTCCTATTGTTAGTTAGAAGGTTGTGTGTGATCTTTTATCCTTATAGGGAGACTTACTTAAAAAATATTTCATCCCGTCTAAAATATAAGTATATTTTTTTCCAGCAAAGCTTGGTAAAAAATACCAGCAATTTATTATTTGTAAAAAATCTATTTTATCTATTCTGAATTTTTGTATATGTGAATTAGTAACCTTTTTTTATTCATGATAAATTGGAAATAAGGGTATAAAGGGAAAAAAATTATATTTTAGAATAAAGATTTTTTGATATGTGAGTTGCTGTTAAAAGTTATTTATATTTTGGGTGAAAGGGAACAGAATTCGATTAAGATGATATTTTAATTTTAGATATTAAGGACCTGTTTGATTTTTGTTCTTATTTTTTATTTTAAAAATTATTTTACAATGCAGTTTTTAAAATTGTTTTTCAAAACAAAATAAAAAAAAATCCATTTAGTCGTATTAATTTTAAAAGCAGTTTTAGAATTAAAAAATAGATTAATAAGAATGGTTATAGGTGATTAATGGTGGTGATTTATGATAAAAATTAATTAAGGTAATTATAATTTTGAATAATTAAATGTTATGTATTCTGAAAACAAGAAAAATGAAACTAAAACAACTTAAAGTTGTTTCTATTTTTTTGTTTTTAAAAATAAAAAATAAAAGCGGTTTTAAAAATTATCAAACTGAAAATATTTAGTCAAATAAGTTTTAAATTTTTTTTAAAATAAAAAATAATTTTTAAAAACAGATAATAGACCGGCACTAAATATTAAGAAAATCATCTTTCAATGGCTACATTAAAAAGTTCATTTATTTCTGTAATATTTTGAGTTTGAAACCTGGCAGGGTTATCGTAAGATGATACAAACTCTGACTGTAATGACTTTAGTGTTGTCCGCCAAGAAAACGGAGAGACTCGATGATGTGGATTCCTTGATGTCATAAAAAAGCGCAGAGAATAAATTTAAATTCTAAAAATTAAGATAATTCCAATTAAATACATGAAAATAAAATTATTAAATAAGTTGTAAATATTGATTTAGATAGTTAAAAATAAGAATTTTATTTATAAAATGAGAGCTATATAAAAATTTAAATATTCTATTTATAATAAAGTGTATTCTTGCTTCAAATGAAAATAATAAAAAATTAAAAATCACTTACAAACACTCCATTATTGCATTGGAGTCGAACAAACATTACTGGATGAATTTAATTTGCAGGATTCCAATTAAAAGGCGAGTATTTTCATACTTATCTAGTAAATACTCCAACATGATGAGTATTTTTTTCTTATTTTTAAATGTACAACACTTTAAAGTTTTAATTACCTCACATATAAATTTTATTGAATTTAAAAGGATAAATTAATTAAAAATTTAATAATTTATCCTTGAAGCTTTAACTCTTTGGAATCTTGGTCCCTTACTTGCAATTCATGCATTATTTTTATCAGCAAAGGGGACAAAAGTCCAAGCAAAACCAGAAAGCAGCAGTAAAAGCAGGGTGTATACAAACAAGAGATCTGTAGGAGGAGCCTCAAGCAGTTGGCACTCGATTGATGCCAAATTTGGGGAGTCAATCCATGCACATATTGTTTTCCCGATAAGCGTCTTGCATGATCACCTATTTGCTGCGTTTCTCTTCCTTCGAGTGCCTCTTGTAACTCCTTCACAGCCAAGGCTGAGTCGCTCTCAATTATGATCTTTGCTTTGATCGAGTTTTCTTGACACTAGGAAACTTTGAACAAACACTTCATAGTTCGGACATCTTTGCTGTACATGATCCCAACTTACACACGTAATTTTACAAACAGTTACTTTTAATTTCTCCTGCGTAATATCATTGTACAGTCTTCATTATAAAAGGTTCCAAATGCATCCCCCCCCCAAAAAAAGAAGTTACCAGATTCTTTTTTTATACAAGATATGGGCTAAGGGCAGGCAAAAATTTAAATTACAAAAAGGGGGATTGAGATCCAATTCAATCAGAAGAAATAAGGTCCCCTATAAGCACCGGGGGAACCTCAAACAGAGAGGAGAAAGTCACCAGATTTCTGCGTCCGTTTCAAACCCTATTGATTACATTGTGGGCTTCTGCCATTGCCTGCTGGACTTAACATCTAAATCGTTCAATCCAGTGGTCTTTTAGTATTCGGGCTCGCTCTTAAAATTGGGCCTCTTAGCCCATTTGTGGGTCACATGATTAGACAGGCCGTCACTTTCATGCAATCGTTAAATTGTCACCATCGACGTCACTTTTGTTTTGCTTGTTGGTGGCAAAGCGTGAATAGCTAATATAGCCCAATAGCTAATGCAGATAGCAAACTTAAAGCCGCTTTAATGAAAAGCCGAAGCGAAGAATAGAAATAACAATGAGCCATGGACACGTGTAGTCCGCTTGTAAGCTTGCCTCGGAAAGAATTTAGATCTGAGAGATGTTACTGAATACTTAAGTAATTTTTATCAACCTCATCAATATTAATATAATTAAAATTTAAAAAATTAAAATAAATAAAATTTTAAAAATAACTCTTAAATAAAAAATAAAAAATAAAAAAATTATATAATATTTTTTTATATTTTTTTCTCTTCTAAAAAATAATTAAAAATTTTTAATTTCAAATGATATAATTTAATTAACTAATATTTTATAAAGTATATTAAAATATATTTTTAGAAGGTATGTAATATATAGGAGGGGGTACTAGTACTGTTGATTGTTGACAGATGAGGTGGTGAGTTAAGTTTGTCATTTGCAGTTTCGCACGATACAAAGAGTTCCATCTAGTTATTATCCATTTTATTAAAAAAAAAAGTCCAGTGTTTTTTTAATTTTTTATATATGAAAAAGGAATAATTGTTCAATATCCCTTATTATATCAAGTACTCCTATTATCCTATTCATGAGATAGTGAAAGAACATTTATTTTTATTTTATTTGTAAAAAATATTAATTATTATTATGCATATCTTTATTTTTTATCTCTATTAAATATTGAGAATAATATTAAATGCTAGAATATTATTTACATTAAAAGTAAAAATATAAACATTTCCTCACACTTAATTTTAATTTAAAATATAAATAATTTAGTACATATAAAAATATATAATATTTTTTTCTTAAAATAATTAAAATATAGTATCCTTCGCCCGCAAACAGACGTTAGTCAATGCTGATTAGGACTGACCGAAATTCCACGGATTGAAACTGGCCAACGCCACTGTCACTTGCGGTCAGGTCACCAGTAGTGTCATGCCCTGCCTCGGTTTCCACCAGAGGGGTGGAGCTCCCACCACCGCCTTTTGCAACGGCGTCGGCTCCCTCGCTCTCCAACGATAAGACTAAAGCCGACAAACAGGCCATTTGCAACAGCCTCAACTTCGCCGCCAGTCAAATCCCTGGCTTCAACGACTGCAATGCTCAGTCGCTCCCTAGTCCCTACCCCCTGCCAAGCGAGGCAAGAGACTGATTGCTTTTCTTTCTTCCTCTTTTGGATATGAGTGCAAGCAAGAAGACCTGCAAACTAAAAGCTCTATGCTTGAAGAAGAACCCAGTCACAAACTGATCCCAGTTTTGATTCATATAATGAAAAGCCCATCTTTGAATATTGTTCAGTACATTGATGAGACCTGGAACCACTAGCCTCGTCTGCTTCCCTCTGATCTTACCAGGTTGGCATCATGGCATGCTATCATGCTGTAACTATACTACGTACACTCCCACGAGTTAAGAGTCTTTCAAAGAGTATTTAAAACCACACAAGGTGTCCATACCAAAACAAAACACCAAATAATCTTTAAAGGATGGAATGGCCATTCAATAAAACTATATGCAGTAGAACGGGTCTGTTACACCTCTCACAAGCAATCAAACAAACACGTGAAAGGCCTGATCAGTAAGGATGGATTGTGAATCATGCAGGTATACAATATAGGAAAGAACGTGTGAATGAAGAAAGGGAAGGAGCAAGAAAAAGGAAAGAAACAATTCACAGAGTGCCTGAAGAGGACCCCCGAAACCGAGGGAGTTTTTTCTCGCCTTACCAGTAGTTTAACTGATGACCCCCTCCTCCGAATCTCCCGCCCCTCACTGTAAAGCAAGAGGTCGGCCTGAACCAGCAGCCTCAGGCCCGGGCCGTGCTGCTCGTCAATGTCTACAAATGCTCGTGAGGTGAGACTGGAGAGAAGAAGAAGAAGACTGAGTCAAAGAAGAAGACGAAGTTGCGTCTACCAGGACTGAGTCAAAGACGAAGTTGCCATGCATCAAGTTAACATTTAACCCAGCCAAATTCCCATCATACTATAATTTATACCAAAATGCTACACATTGAAAAATATTTACCAGGATATTATAGGCTGAAAATGGATTTAAATGGGATCAAGTTTAATCAAGTTTAAATTTTCTCTCTCTGACCAATGTAAAACTCGGCCTGGATGAAACCCATTTTTATATCATTGATTAATTAAAAAAAAGTTGTGTCAGAGTAGCATACAAATACAACTACCCCACACACACCAAACCCCCCCCCCCACCCTTATGCAACAACTCCCTCTCCCCTTTTACGAAGAATATTCCCATCCCTTATGCATATTGTAATACATAAATATAGATCAAATTATATATTTACATTTTCCAATTTCTAAACAAACAATTTAGTAAATATAACTGCATATTGTTTGTTTTGTCATAAGATTTAAATAAATTTTTTTAACGAGTAACATTTTCTCAAAAATTGTAAAAGCTAAGGCTTGCGAAATAAGTGTTATCATTTTTTCTTGAAAAAATATGAGATAAAATTGTGAGATGTTGTATAAGATAAAATTCATTTATTTTGTTTTTAATTGAATATATATTATATATATAATGTTAAGTATTTTTTTGACCTTTTCTTAAGTTT